TAGCTAGTTTAATCAGGAACAAGTTTTAAACCATAGTTATAAGCCAAAAAAACCATAAGGAAAGTGAACAAATCAAATCCTTGGGCAAGCTTTAGGGAATGATTGCCAAAGCCACATTTTAGAAATGAGCTACTGGAGGGATCTGCTGCCCTTTCTGTACAGGAAGCTTTAGGTTCCAGAACCCATCAATGCCTATATCAGAAACCACCATGATTAGGAAGGTATTTCAATCAGGAAGCCACTTCTGCTACTACCAACTCAAAAACCAGTTATGAAAGCTACACTGGAAATTAGCAGTGGTACATCTGCTAAAGCTGCTACAGGAAAACCAAGCATACCTAAAGGTATGCTGGCCAGAATAAACAGTGGAAGTGCACCACAGCCTCAATTCCTTTTCTCCATTGTTATGGCATAACTTAAATCACAGCCTGCACATTGGTGGCAAGTAGTTCCTGGGGCAGGTAGTTTTAATGTTTCCAGACTCTAGAAGGGAGGACTGGGTAAAGTGGCAGCACACCATGTACATTACAGTCCTTGTTTCCTTTGAAGCTCTTGACTAATTTTGACACTGCTGACCCCTTCCTCCTTCGTGGAATTCTTTTCTCTTGATTCTGTTGTAATGTTCTCTCCTGATTCCCTTCTGGACCAAGTACTTTTTCTCAGACTTTTTCCTGGGCTCAACTTTCTTTGCCTGTCCCATAGTGACAGTGTTCCTAAGATTATCTTTGGGTATTCTTCTCTCTTCTCATTGCATGTTTTTTTTCTTTTCTGTTGTCACTATAGACATTTCCTGTACATTCTTTTTCAAGGTTTCAAGTACCATCCATATGTTGAACATTTCCCAATTCTACATCTCTAGTTCAGATACCTTTATACTCAACTATCAGATATTTCCATCAAATGTCCCAACTCAAGATCAGCATGTTTAAACAGTCCCTGCTTCTCTACTCCTAAATCTTTTCTTCCTTTATTCCCATTTGGGTGAATGTTGCCAAATTCAGGAGATCGCTTTATCTCAGATATTCAGGCATTATTCTAGAAACACCTTCCCTTTAATCTATAGCCAATCCTATTGATCCACCTCTATGTTACTCTGTTGGTGATGACATTTTAGAAATAATACTAAAGGCACGATCTATGAAAGAAAGAATTGATAAGTTGTACATCACTAAAATTAAAAATTTCTGCTCTGCAAAAGACACCATTAAAAGAATAAAAAGTGAAGTCATAAACTGGGAGAACTCTTAAAATTCAACAATAAGAAATTAATGGTTTAATTAAAGAATGGGCCAAACATGTTCACAGAAACATCACCTACAATACACAAATGTCAAATAAGCATGCAGAAAAATGTACTATATCATATGTCCTCAGGGAAATGCAAATTAAAACAATGAGATACCACTGCCTACCTATTAGAATAGTGAAAATGCAAAACACTGACAATACCAAATGCTGTTGAGTAAGCAGAGCAACAGGAACTCTCATTCATTGCTGGAGGAAATTCAAAATGGTACAGCTCTTCAGAAGACAGTTTGGCAGTTTCTTATAAAACTAAATGTAGTCTTACCATATGATCCAGCCATTGCACTCCTTGGTATTTAACCAATGGCGTTGAAACCTTATGTCCACACAAACACTTGCACATAAATGTTTATAGCAGTGAAAACTTGGAAGCAGCCAAGATGTCTTTCAGTAGATGAATGGATAAATAAACAGTGGTAGAACCAGAAAATGGAATATTATTCAGTGTTAACAAGAAATGAGCTATTGAGCCATGAAAAGACGTGGAGGAAACTAAAATACATATCACTATGCAAAATTGGTCAATCTGAAAAGGCTACATAATATGTGATTCTCATTATTTGACATTATGGAAGTGAAAACTGTAAAGACAATAAAAAGTTCAATAATTTCCAAGAGATAGGGAGAAAGAAAGATAAGCAGGCAGAGCCTTAAGCATTTCAGGGCATTAAAACTCTTCTATGTAACACTGTAATGTTGAATACATGTTATTATATATTTGTCTAAACTCACAGAATGTACACCACCAAAAGGGAGCCCTAACTGAACCATGGACTTTGAGTGATTATGATGTTTCAATGTGGCTTCATCAGTTGCAACAGTTGTACCCCTTTGGTTGGGGATGCTGATAATGGGGGAGGCTATGCAAATATAGGAGCAAGGGTTTATGGGAAATCTCTCCAGTACCTTTTTCTCTATTTTGTTGTGAACCTAAAACTGCTGCCAAAAGTATTCTTTTAACAATGACAGTGCAGTAGTGATAGCCACAGCCACTGTAGTGGTGTCAGTGGTCCTATTGTTATTTAATGACATCCTTTTCTTTACAGTTTCTGCTTTACCAGAATCCTGACATCCTCTGAAAACAAAGCTTATTTTTATGCCTCCATGTTGTTCCACTGTTATTCTCTCTACTCAGATTGGCCTCTCTTTCTACATCTTCATCCTTCTTCCCCGCAAAAAAAAAAAAAAAACACTTCTCATTCATATTCAAGTTTCTGATGAAGCATCAACACCCATCTGAAGCTGTCTTCAACTCCCTCTAGTGCTGCCTCTTTACTCAGACTTCCACACTAGGGGTGACCTCATTGTACCATAATTGTTTGCAGGCCCATCTCCTGGAGAACAGGGCCTGGATTTACTCATTGCTTGGAATACAGTGCCATTCATGGCATTAGAATATGGTAGGTGCTCAGTAATCACTAACTGATGACTGCATTCATGAAGTTGCAATATTAATAAGCACACAATATATACACAGTTGGTGCAGAAGAGAATAATTCTTGATGTGCAAGCATGATGCCCATCTTTGGAAACCTGGCCCAAGTTCTGCTTCTCCCATGAAGTTTTTCCTAACACCTGCAGGCCCCATCTGTGCTACTGCTGGTAGCATCCGGAGTAGTACTTGGTCAGACATCAAGCAGTCATCTTTCTTTATTTTCATTTATAATGCATGTTTTCCCAACAAGACAGAAAGATCCTCAGGACAAGGATGATGTTACATTTCACAGAATCTAGAATGCCAGGTAGGTAGCTCGCTAGAACAGCAATAGGCATAGGTGCTGCCTCCTGCAGCTACCAGAATATTAGCCTCCATCATCATGAGGCCAGACCAGTTCTGAATACTTTAAGTATTAACATGAAAATTTACAGTTACAAAAAAATAGAATGTCTTATTTTATACTTAGGATACATAAGCATAGTGCCTTTCCCACCTCTACAGTTAAAAATCTTCAACATAGTGCTAGTAGTCACATGAATTCTTCCTCCATAAGAAATTATTGAAAAACAAAACAAACCTTATATAGATGTGGCTGAGGATGGTATTCTGCCCTTCACTTCTTTTGCTCTATTAAGTATCCCCCATCTGTCACCATCCTTGTTTCTGGTGTACTGCAGGAAGGTCAGTGGCTTCAATCGGGGTTTTATTCTAATGCAGAGAATTCGGCATCTCTGTCTGCAGCTGCTTTGAAGTTTGCACAGTCTTCACCTTTGCGTAGGTACCTCACTGGACTCTATCCCTCTCACATAACTCCAACCACTCCTGTTCCATGTATTACTGATATATAAAGAGGTGTTACAGGACACATTCTCTAGGGCCTTCTGCAAAAATTAGAATACTCTCTTCTGCTGGGGTTGTGGCTCAGAAGTATAGCGCTCACCTAGCATGTGCAAGGCACTGGGATCAATCTTCAGCACCACATAAAAATAAATAAATAGAATAAAAGTATTTAAAAAAATCTCTCATTAAAAAAAAAAAGAAAAAAACAATAGTCTTTCTTATTCTCAATGCCTGTATGAATTTGCTTTCACAGCCTCTCTTCCCCCACATACACACACCCCACACAATCTGGGACAGTGGTTTCCTGTAGAATTTGGACTTTGGGTAGGAAGAAAATAGCTTCCAGTTTGTTGAGTGCTGTCTAGAAAGTTCCACTACTGACCTCCACACAGTTGGCTACTTCCTGTGCTAACTGGCATGCTCTCTTCCTCTCCACCCAATTATAAAAACCTGGGTTTTCTCTTTGTTCCTCCCATGCCCAAGCAGGTGAATGGTCTGTAATACTACATGTGTTGATGTGAACAGGTAAGAAATCAGTCACTCAACAAGCACTTTTAAATACCTGTATATTCATGGCAGGGTAAGATATGAGGTCTTTACATTAAAGGAACCAACATGCTATTGAGAACCTACTGGATGGTAGTGGCTGCCCTGCAGGATCCTAGAAGGTGACAGAAAAGGCTCCAAGAGAGGTGAATCCAGGAAGTAAACAGGAAGGGACAAAGTTCCTTTCCATTCATATGGGTGGGAAACAGTTTATCACTTTTTGGTTGTTCACAGGAAGGGAACCAAGTGAAGTTCAGATACTGTGCAGTAGAAAAGTAGTTGTCCCCAGTATCTGTAAGTTTTGTGGAAAAGGTGCTTTTAAAAAAAATTAATTAAGAGGAGCTTCTGATGTTATGGGGTCCTGGACACAGAAAATGCATTAAGTAAAATTCAGAATATATGGGCTTCAGTTAGCAGTAATGTAATATGTCAATACTGATTCACTAATCATAAGAAATGTGTCATATCAATGTAAGAAGGTAGTGATAGGGAGACTGGGTGCAGGATATATGGGAACTGTCTGTGCTGTCTGCTCAGTTTTTCTATAAATCTAAAACTATCCTAAAAACTGAAGTTTATTTTATAAAGAAAAAGAAGGTGGTTTACAGCCTACAGAGTATCCCTAGCATGGAGACAGGAGGGAGTCAGTTTGAAAATGACGTTTTTTGAAAGAAGTGACTTTGTTGGTAAAACCCACATTTGTGGCTTGATTACCAGTTCCTATAGGGATGCTGAGTTTTTGCTTGCTTTCCTGTGGTTGATTTTTGGCAGGCGGCTGCAGCATTTGTGCACCGATTATAATTTTGAGATGCATTGTCAGTACCCAGGATATATAATGGTTCTTCATTTCTAATTACTTTTCTCTCCACAGGTGTCTGGAAAAGGTCCAGATGGGAATGCACACAACCTCCGCTTTGAGGGGCTGGAGAGACAGTATGCATCTTTACCCAGGTAGGTCACAGAAGGGTCTCCCATCACCAGCTCACCCACAAATGAAGCCTTTAGAGAAGTCTATATGAAATAGAAATCTGGCTTTGAAATGGAGAATATGTTATAATTTTTGCCTTACTGCTGTCTGCTGCAGCCCTATTGCCATCTTCTCAACTGTGCTAATAATTGAAACACTTGTGGGCTATTTTTTAAGGGGAGAAAATAGTATATCATTGCAATTGAACATGTCAGCAAGAATATTGGATACTGAATGGAAATCCTAAGCCATGGCTATAAAAATGGTATTGAACATCCTGCACCAAGCTTAGAGACAATAAAATAGTAAATCCTCTGTCCTAGAAGTTACCAGTAAGAAAGGGCAGGCCAACCTTAACCTTGGAGCTTCTTGTGGGTGTTAAAAAGCAGGAGAGAAATGTGAACCTGGGAAGGTGTTTTTTACTTGATTTAGTATCTGACAGTGTCCTCAAGCAATAAGCAAATGTCGCCAAAAGGCCCAGACACAATGAGGGAAAGAAACAATGACATGGGAAAAGTTTGCTTGGCCATTCTGACCTAACCTGATCCACTTATGCTGTAACTAGACACCTCTGAAAATGAGATGCAATTCTCAGAGGTTTGTACTCTTATCTATGAGATGAAGAGTAATATTAGTGCACTATCAGAGCACAGGACAAAGAGGAAACCTTTCTAAGATGACTTAGCCTCCAGCTACCATGGGAGCGAGATGAGTTGAGAGTGTGAGAATTAGTGAGTTTGAATGAGAGACAAAGAAAAGTTAATGTCAGCCATGAAGCTGAAATGTTTCAGAGTATTACCTTAGAAATGGGTGAGGGGAGGACCCAAGCACAGCTTTAAGGCCATCAAAGCTGAGCTGCTGGCTTGCTAACTTAGAGATGGGGTTACTGTTTGGGGTTATTTGTTGGCTGTAATTCTGCAGGTAAATTGATAAAAATAACATCCTTACTGTTACAACACTCTTGGCCTAGGTATGTTGATTTTTCAAAAGTGACAAAATCTCAAATCTAGCAGAAACCAGTTTTTAACACTGATTAGACAGAATACCCGAATGCAATATTTTAAATGCTTCCACACAACTGTATTTTATTTATCTCCCTGTGTTCTTCTTCTTTTTTTAATGTTGTCTCGTAGTTTTTTATCATCCATGATTTCCTGTCCCTATTTTGTATTGGCCTAGTATTTTGTTTTCATTTAAAAAATGGAAGTAGTTTCCAAAATTTGTCTTAAATATGTAAGATTTCCGGCTTTCACTGCTGAAGTGTATGGAAATTGTACTTACAGCAGATGGAAAGTGGTAGGTTCCTAGTGGGGAGGGAGGAAGTGGAGGAAAACTGGAAATGCTTTAATGCCTTCCTGGCCAGCTCGTACTCTGAGTGCAGAAATGGAGATATATATATATATTACAAATCAAAAGCACAGAAAACACATTTAAAATTCTATAAATTTTATTCATTTATTCATTCCCCATGTATTTACTGATTGTCTACTCTATTTTGGGCCCTGAAAACATAGAGACTGAGACACGATCCCATTTCTACCCTCAGGACTACACTGTTTAGTAAAGGAGTCAAGAAAATCAGCCTTTTGCCATAATGCATCAAATGCTTACAGCACTATTAATATAAAGGCCTCTGAATTTCCAACTCCTGTTTATTTTCACTAATTAGCTCTGAAATACTCAATCATGGCTGACTCCAAACAAGTCGGTTTGAAGAATAAACACTGTGGAAGGGGTTTCTGACAAAGAGAGTACATTAATGCCGACCGAGGCTCTGGAGCTATCATCACAAAGTATGAATTGACAAAATCCTGCCAGCCCTGAGAATATAACTGTGATTGAAAGGGAAGCTATCTTAGACTGAAAATAATTTTGGCGAGAAGTCCATTCACACACATACACAATGCTCGGGGTGATTAGTTGCACGTGCAAACAGATCTTTGTAACTACCTGGCAACTAGAAGCAGCCATGACTGAGAATAAACAGGGCCCAAACAAATGCATGAGAGACCCCTGGCACCAGTTTCTCGATGGGAGAGCTCAAACCCGTGTTTCCATTCTCACCATCTGAAGAGGAGATGAGAGGCAGAGCTCCCTCCCAGGCACTGAGCCCAATCCATGGGAACCATATTTCCCCAATGAGATACAAAATGCAGAGGTGAGGGGTACACTGCTGGCCTCTGAGAAGTGTGCCGATTCAGCTCTGAATGCCTGTGACAGTGACCCTGGTTTTCTTTTACCCCACCCCCACCCCTGGAGATTTTACCATCCTCTTAATTGAATCACACCAGCTCCCTGTTCCCTCCCTTTGCCCGGACAGTGAGGCAAATACAGCTCTGTAGGCACGGGGGCCCTCTTTGTCAGAGGCAGGGAGCATTAAAATATTTATGGAGTTACATTTTTAATTAAAAATAGGAATAAATTCTATCTCTAGGAAGTTGGTGGCCTTTCTTACGGGGGACTTAATATGCTACTGACTGATATGGTTCCTGTGTTGTTTGTGGAGATCTTCACAGGAGTTTTTATGAGAAACTCAATAACGCTGATTTATACGCCAAATTTGGAGGCATCCGCAGAGAGAAAGTGCCCCACAGTGCATGGAGTGGGTGAGGAGCCCCGGTCAAGGGGCTCCCCTCTAAGAGTTCATGGAACTCTGTCATCTTTAAAGCAGGCCCAAGCAGACTGCTGCCAAACTAAATGACACCACACAAAATAAAGCCAGGGTGCTGGCCAGCACAGGAGGAAGACAGTGCGTAGAGCTTGGTATCCAGAAGCTACCTAAGGCCAAAGGCTAAGCGATGTTAAGTGTTATTGTTAAGCAATGTTAAATCTTCAGCCTCCAAAGAAAAATAACTTTATTTCTTTTCTCCTGAGGGTGCTGTTTTAGAAAGCAGAGTGTGGTTTGTAATACAACCTCGTTAGCGAACCCCAGGCCTTTACCTGGGCCCCAGTTTTCTTTGGTCATAAACAGAATGAAATCAGCATCCCCTTACTCTTGCCTGACACAAATTATTACTCACCCTAGGTGAGTGGGGGAAGTGGCTGTTTCCTGGGCTGCTGTAATGTGTGAACATCCATGCATGCATTTTTGCAAACGACTTCTTTTTTCACTCAGCCTGCCAGCCCCTTTCAATTCTCTCAGGCCCCATTCTGATTTTACAGGCCTCCTCACAGTCGGCCCGTTCAGTAGTGAACTCTCTATTCTCCCATCTCAAGCCTCCACCGTTCCCACCTGGCCCATCCCTGGCCCCGCGGGAGCCCATTAGCCCCTTCTCTACAGATGGCTCAGTGCACCAGCACATGATGTTGCTCTTCCGGGTTTATAATCAAGTGTGGAGTCCTGAGGAGCGAGCAGGACACGGCTGCATCTCATCTGCAGTCCTGTGTGCGTGGGTGGTGGGAGGTGGCTGGGGAGATTCATAAAACCCCATTCATCGGTTACACTACAAAATTCACATGAGGCAGCGCCAGCTGGGCCGCTGCTGCCGGCCAGCATTCCTTTTAGTCGTGTAGTCAACTCCCCTGACTATCCTGCAGTGGCCCTTCCGACCCCTTTCTACTCCTGTTAAGTCTTATGAACATGACTAAGCTCCCAAGCCCCATCTCTAGAGATGACCTCACTTCCCTTCCTTTATGACCTTGAAGCACTCAACTTGAGTCCCTCAACTTCTTCTGCTCTCCGCCCCTCAGAATGCTGAGTCTCCACTGACACACAGTTCCCCAGAGCTTGGAGCCAGGCCAGGAGTGAAGCTCCAGCTCTGTCACTCATCACCTGTGTGGCCTTGGCCAGGGATCTAATGGCTCCAAGGCTCTGCTTTCTAATATGCAAATGAGGGTGACAATAAGGTCTCCATCTAGCACTGGTATGCGTATTAAATACAATACGGAAATATAAGCAAGTCCTCCTTAAAGAGCCTGACATATTTGAAGGACTGTTTTTGTTTTTGTTTGCTAGCTCTCTCTGATTTGCTCTATAGGGAAGCCATTTTCTTTTCTGTAATGAGGCAAACCCATATTCTCACTGGCTTCCTGGGGACCTGCTACCACAACTCTCCCTCTCCAGGCTGCATCTTTAAGTCCCTGCAGTTGCTTTCCTCCCCCTGCCTATGCATAGGTTCAGCTGCACAGCTTGCTGAGAGTCCCTTCGGCCCTATGGGGAAGGGAAGAGCCAACACCTGCATGGTGACCACTGGAGTACTAACTGCAGCTGAAGAATTAGCTGACTCTGAGGGAAAACCAGGCATGCAGATGATCAGATGATCGAGAGCAAGGAAATACAGCAAACTAATGTGATCTGAGCTGTGCTAATGGACCCATAAGGAGATAGCAGTTCTTATAACTAGGGGATCCATTATATGGGATGCTGAGCCGGGTCTAGGCTAGAAGCCAACAAGACTTGGATACAAGGCTAGGACCATACCAGGGTGGAAGTCTTAATATGATGCCATAGCTCCCAGAGCAGACAGGGTGTGAATGCAGCACCCTCTTCACTGGTGGGAGGAGCCCCAGAGAGTCACCTAGCTATTGTTGGCTTTGGACAGGGCAGCGCTGAGCATGTAGCTCCAGGGCTCACCGCTAAGCAAGGCTGGGGTGGCGGAACTGCCCCATGTGTTTGAATCTTGTTCCTCAGAGAAGAACCTTCCTGCCTCCTCCAGTGCCCTCATTTCCTGAGTAAAGTTGGCCTATGCCTGTGGGTTCCAGGACCAATCACACTGCAGCCGCCTATCCCAGGCTTCTGATCATACCCCTGTGACTTCCCCTCGATTCTGCCACCAGCTGTTTCCCTTATGTAGATTCTCCCTCAGCAGTCTCCTGTATTCCCACAGATTCAGTTCTCTCACCATGATGATGATGATTCTGAACTTACCTGGCTAACCTCTGTATCTCACTCTTGCTTGACGTAGCATGCCAAAACCCAAGTCATCTTTCTTTGGCTCTTCTTCCTTTTAACGTCTATAACATTTATTTGGTTCCTTTCCAGTAC